AGTGTATAAGCAAGAGAACCTAGAGGGTTCTGAGGTATACATAGGAGTGTATAAGCAAGAGAACCTAGAGGGTTCTGAGGTATACATAGGAGTGTATAAGCAAGAGAACCTAGAGGGTTCTGAGGTATATGTAGAAGTGTATAAGCAAGAGAATGATGGGCACCCAAGGGAGATTCAGGCTTGGTGAGGAAACCAGCAATCAACTCAGGCACTGACAGGGTGGGAAGCACGATAAAATTCCTGATAGTCAGAGCTGGAGAGTGGGCTCAACAGCTGAACAGGACTGGATTGTCTGCCCAGCACTCAGCAACAAGGGACCCTGTGCCCTCTTTCGGCCTCCGAAGGCACTGAACTCCTGTGGATATAGACAGATACTGAATAAAAGTAGAATTAATCTTAACAAACAAAACAGTTCTTAGGAGCCATAGTAACCAGAAGGATGTGAGTGACCGCAGCCTGGGTTTGTCTGCGACTGGCTGGCCAGGGTCTGTGGGGAGGCTGGGCACGACATATGCAGGAGAGAGGACTGGATGTGGTCCAAGTCAGGAGTGACCCCAGCTTCCTAGGGAAGCTTCTCCTAGAGAAGAGGCGGGTCATGAATCTCAGAGGACATGCAGGGACCTCCGATTCAACCTTGTGGCTCTGAAGATCCCTGACCAGGACTGGACTGCAGATACAGATCCTAGAAGCTGGGAGTGTAGCTGGGTGGTGGGGGGAGGACTACCCCCAGAATCCCCCAATGAGGGGCTGGGGGTGCGGCTCAGGTGGGGAGCCCCTACCCAGAATTCCCCAGTGAGGGGCTAGGGGCGTGGCTTAGGATAAAGCCCCTACCCTGTGAGAGTCTGGAGGCACCGCTCAGATGGAACATTGCCTAGTGTTATAAACAAGAAAGGAAAGGCTAGGACTTGAAACTCTTGTTCTCTGGCCTTCCCGTCTTCCTCTGCTGAGATGGGGTCTGGGTTGCCCTGGACTATCTCACATACTGTTCCATACCTCAACATCCCATTCGTAAGGTCCCCTCCTCAGCCTCTGGAAAGTGGGGTCCCAGCAGGTGCCACCAAACTTGTCTCTCCACCGTCACCTGTGTTTGCAGATTAGTAGCTGGTCCCTATCGATGGCTCTACCAGCACTACATGGCAGGTCACTATCAACACCCCATGCCTGGGGGTCACCATCAACACCCTGCAGCGCAGGTTTATCTGCACGTGTTTCGTGGCCAGCTGATAAGTGCTGCGAACACACGGCATCCGGCCCAGCCGAGAAGTGCTGAGAACATGGCACCTCCTGGTGGCTTTCATTTGCTCTCCTTGGGGTACAGGAAGGCAGGGCACCTTTAAAAACACAAGACCTTTTTCTCTGGCCTGGCGTCCCTCATCAGGACTCCCAGAGCCCGAGACTTATCTCAGGAGGGTGGGTTCCAGCAGCAGGGGCAGGGCCCTGGGCGGGGTGTCCTTGCCTGTTTATAATGCTATTGTCGTACCCACCGCAGTAACCCCAAAACCTCAACTATGCAGTGAGGGAGCATTTGACAGGCAGGCCCAGGCTGAGTCACCTGAATTCTGAGCTAGGGCAGGTGTTTTCTGTCCCAGGGAGCTGAAGTGAGTGGCAGTAGCACGGCCCCAGGCAGCCTTACCTGGTACATTTCCACAGCATTGTTGTCCCCAACAAGATCATCCCTCTAGTCCCTGGCCTGCTTCTTGTGTGTGGATTTTTCTGCCCTGTGACTTTCTCGTGAGCCCATCACACATGGGTGGGGCATTTGTATTGGCTGCTGTCACTCAACCACACGGCCCTTTTATTCCTTTTTTATGGTTCACTAATATGCCAGTGCCTGTGAATAGGGCTGCTGTGACCTCTGGGTGCACTCACAGAAGAATTACCGCGTTAAGGGGCAATCAGTTCCGTATTCAGTCCTGGAGCTCTGCCCACTGTGTACTGGTCCAGGGAGCCAGTGTCAGGAGGACTCAGTTTCCAGTTTAGGGACTTACCTCTCCCTCCAGCAGGGCCTGAAACTCAGAATTAGGACCGTCAGGTTTTTAGGGTAACTTCTGAGGAAGGGGATGGGGATTGACACCTGATCCTGGTATTTATGAGTTGGACAGGTTTTAAGGTTCTGGGATCTTCTAAGATTTTTGGGTTCACTCACCTCCCGGCTGAATGTTTCCTCACATAGCACCAGGAAGAGGGAGGGAGACGGGGCGGCTGCAGCCTGGGCTGAGCTGTGGAGGGGCAATGCAGTAGGGGACAGACAGATTTCCACAGCTCAACACTGGGGAGCTCCTGCTCTCTCACAGTGGGGTGGGAGAGGGAGATGGGAGGCCCTAAATGAGGGAGGGGAAGGGTAGGACCGGAGGAGGAAGAGGTCAGGTTGGGAATAGAGGTGTCCACTGGAAGGAGGGGTAGGGTCAAAGTGAATGGGCATGGCCAAGAAGAGGGGTGGGGGTGGAGTGGAGACGTGGACCTTCGAGTTGGGAAATCCGAAGGGAGGGTGGGGCCTAGATGGAGGGGAGGGGCCACAGTTCTGGTAGGAAGACCGGTGGGGAAGGACAAGACCACAGTGAAGAACGGGACGGCGAGGGGCGAGGTCAAGGAGCCAGAGGGGGGCCGCGGGGGCGGAGAGAGGGGGGACTTTTTCCTTGGCCACTAGGAAGCTTGTCTTGCTGGAGGAAGGGAGAACAGGAAAGAGGCGGAAGGAGGCGAGTAGCCAAGAGCCAGGGCGAGGCAGTCGTCCAGGTAAAACCGTGTGGCCTCCGGGGCTGTTTGGAGTGGGCGCTCAAGGTGAGTACCAGGGTCTCGGGTGGGCGTGGGGCGAGGTTGGGGTCTGGGGCGCTTTCTAGCCGCACCGCACCGCAGACGAAGACGCTCTGCAGCCCCGGCCGTACTCCTGGGGCTCCGGGTCTCGCAGACGGCTAGCCCCGCTACATTCCAGGATCAGGAACCCGCGTTTCTCCCCAGTTCGTGTCTGCACAGCCCGGCGGCCTCGACTCTGCCTCGGTTTCCCCTGTTTGAGTTTGTGAAACCACTGTGTTTTCAGACAACCGGGAATCTTTTTTTTTTTTTTTGTCTTCACGCTGACACCGGCGAAACTCGGATGAGAGGCGTTTGCTCTCCGAGCCTCAGTTTCCCTATATGGGAGTTAGGCTGAGGTGAAGGTAAACTGAGAGGCCTTGGTGGCAGCTCAGAGACTAGTCATCTATCACCATAGTTAAATTGATTGTCTGTGTTGCTAACCAAGATTCTGACGCTTTGCGGTAAATTTCCCATTCTTTTCTTTTTCTCCTTCTTTTTCTGAGTCTGGCTTTGCACATTCTACCTTTCTCCTGAGTGCTTGATTTCGGGTCCCCAGTTTCACTTCCTCATCCTGGCCTGTCACATCCCGTGGAGTAAGGAGGGGAAGGTGCAGCCGCTTAGGGGACACTAGTTGGTGCCCATCTGGTCAGTGTTTGCGCAGCCGGCCCAGGCCGGATCCCCTCCCCTGGGCGTGGCGTTTCCCCTCCATAGCTGAGGTTGTGAAAATCCTGTAGGGGTCCCTAGGAGACTTCTCTGCTGCCCCCTCCGAGGTCTGGAGCCCCACGGGACGTTGCTCCCTTCCTCCCACGTGGAGGGAGACGTGGACACCTGGTCCAAGTCCCTGGGCCGAGCTGACCCCCCTGCCTTGGGTCCTCTCAGGAGGTGCTAACAGCCTAGCAGGAGTAGGGCTGGGGCCTGCGTGTTTACTTTACTTTTGATTATAGGTATCTTGTGTCTGTGACATTTATCTTTGATTGTGAAAGTTAAAGAGGTTATTGTAATCCTGGTGTAAACGTCGCCAGAAGAGGGACGAGGTAATGGGACCCGCTTAGAGGGTGAGGATCTAGGGTGACCCCAGATGACAGGCCTATGAGTCTGCTCTGCCGATTGGAAGGGAAAGGATACGGCCAGCACCTTCCCAGCCTCAGTTTCTTTGTCTGGGAAGTGGGCCGGGCTGGGCTGACAGTCGCGATCCTGGCTTATTCCTTCCCGGTGCGGGGCTTATTATTGCCCTGGGGTGGGGGTGGAGGAAGGGCTGGCGCCGGATGCTAGAAGGCCTCCAAGAAGCTGGGATGTGAAGACGGGGCGTGGCCTCCAGGAAGCTGTGGTGTGACGGCAGGTGGGGAGCGGCTTGGTCTCCATGAGGACCTGGGCCGAGGCCTCCATAGCTTTATCTTTATAGGAACGCTCCTTTTGTTCATAAAAATCCCAGATCCTCGTAAAAAGAACCTTACTCAGCGTTAAGGAGTTAGTACAAGCCCGATCGAAGCAGCCATGCGGTCAGGTGATCAGCTCGTCCTGCCCAGACTGGCGCTGGGTGACCTTGGGACCCCATGCTCAGCCCGGACGCACAGAAGGGACGGTTCCAGAAGCTCCTAGCATCCTCGGCATCCCTCACTCTGGGAAAATGATCCAGAACATCTGAGCGTGTCAATATCCACCCTGATGCCTCTTTGAGTATGTGCCATTGCCCTGCCTCAGTAGCCTTCTGAAGGCTGCTCCCAGGTCAGGGCCAAGGGCACAAAGCCATTTCCATCCAGGTCAGCGGGAGCCAGGGGCTCCCGAATAGTCATGAAGTAATAGCCCAGCCCATCATTAAGCCACAGTATTTGAACCATAAATAGTAATGAGCATTCTTGTGGGTTATTAATATTATGGTGGGTCTCATTAATATTTAGATAAAGTCATTAATATTCCGATAGAGCTTATTAATAGTCACAGCATCGCTATGAAGCACAAACTCTGAGTCAATAATCAGCTCATTGGCCATTGACCTGTACTTGTCAACTAGTGGGGCTTCGACTTCAACTTTGATATTTTTATTAGGCAGTGTCTCTTTAGTATCCAAATGTGTCATTAGTATTCAATGGTTCATTAATATGCAGTGAATAATTAATATGTAATATCTCATTAATAATCAACATTTTCTTTATGTTCTGTCTTGTTAACATTTGGTTAGTTTATAATTAATGACTGAATTCAGCAATATTAACCAGTCAATAGTTAATTGTGTAGCCAGTGTCTGGGAATTGGCATATTCTTCAGGACAATGTTGTCTGTGACATGGTCCACATCTCCGCATCTGTAACCTTGTGCTCCTTGACACAGTGCCCTGGTGGTGGTAGGGGCATCCAGGCAGCAGCATTCACTCACAGTGCTACACCCCACCCACCCACGCAGGTTCCATCACCAGTGTCCCCAGCCAAAGGCCCATACATGTTCTTCTCCCCACACATACTCTTCAAGGTCTCCAGCCAGGCCAGCCACCTCCCTCTCCTGCACCCCTGTATGTGTCATTTTTTAAATCTATTTAATTGGGTTTTTGTATAACACTTTTCCATCCCTGATTCCTTCCAACCACCAACTCCAGAGAGGGGAGAAGGAAGGTTTCAGGAAAGGGGCGTTGTTCTCATCCTACTGACAACACACCAACTCCAGAGAGGAGAGAAGGAAGCTTTCAGGAAAGGGGCGTTGTTCTCGTCCTGCTGAACAGGTGCGAGTCCAGTCCTTTTTGTCAGGATATCTCCAACTGCTTGTCAAACTTCTTGTCAAACAACAACAATAGGCAGTGTTCTCCTCCCCCTCCCCGCCTCCTTCACACCCCCAACCTCTCTTCCAAGCTCTCTTGTCCCTCTCTGGCCTCTGGCATTTAAACCTTCTCCCAAGTCCTCAGAATTAAGCTGGTAAAACCACACATACAAAGCAAATAGCCAGCTGCTGTGGACAGTCTGAAGCAGCCGTATCCCATACCCAGGATTTAAGAAAAACATGTTTTCATAACATAACTGGGTTCTTTAAGAAGCCAACCCCTCACTACAAACACCTACATTGATGGGGGGAGGGGGTGTGAGTGGGTGTGTGTGTGTAGGACAAGCGTCTTCCCAGTGAGAGGTCTAGCCTAGGTCTTAGGTGGTCTCGCTTAGGCAAAGGAGAGGTCTAGCCTAGGTGTTAGGTCAAGCCTGGATAGGAGGAGTCTCTTCCTTGCCCGTAGCTTTTGTTTCTTTTCTTTCTTTCTTTCTGTCTGTCTGTCTGTCTGTCTGTCTGTCTTTTTTAGATTTATTTATATTTTTGTATATGACCCCATTGTAGCTATCCTCAGACACTCCAGAAGAGGACATCGGATCCTATTACAGATGGCTGTGAGCCACCATGTGGTTGCTGGGAATTGAACTCAGGACCTCTGGAAGAGCAGACAGTGTTCTTAACTGCTGAGCCATCTCTCCAGCCCCCCCTTCTCTTTCTCTTTCTTCTTCTTCTTCTTTCCCTCTTTTTTCTCTTTCTTTCCAGGTACTTTCTGTGGGTTCTCCGGAGGTTCTTCTCCTCACAATGTTTTCTCTGGCTCAACTCAGTGTCTCCTGTCACCAACTGTCTTCTCTTCTCGGTCTGCTAGCCCGCTGCCTCCCTCTCCGCTCTCCGCCTCTCAGTCTTCTCACAGCAACCTGTCTTTCTCTGACCTTACTCTCTTTTAGGCCTTACTTTCTTTTAGGCCTCTGTGGGCTTTTTTCTTTTTTAATGTTTTTCTGTTCCCAGCATTCCAAGAGGCAGTCATAGGGTCCTTTAAAGGGCTAGGCACAAAAATATATCTACTGGAGCTGCTCAAACTTCAGAAAAACCTGAGAATCTGATGTGTATCCATCAAGTGAATGGGTAAATAAACCAATGCATGTATTTCCAACCCATAGCGAGGGGTCTGGCGGCTGTTCACAGAATCTGTCCGTAGCCTGGCAGACAGTGCAGCTTATGAAGTGTTTCCTCTGTGAAGTGTAGTGAGACTTTTGGAGTTTTGGTTTCATTTTAAAAATACAGAAATAGTATAATAATGTTCTTCATTTTAACCCCAGCTGTGGGATGCGGGCTACGTCCGACTGTCCACGGCAGCTGACTGTGACTTGTCCTCTGCCCTAACAGTCGAATGTGACTTCTACGATGTGTGACTTTTGGAATTGTGGGGACTTTTCAGAGGGTCTGTGTGTCTTAGTTAGGGTTTCCATTGCTGTGAACAGACACCATGACCACGGCAAGTCTTATAAAGGCAACATTTAATTGGGCTGCCTTACAGGTTCAGAGGTTCAGTCTGTTATCAGGGTGGGAGCATGGCAGCATCCAGGCAGACGTGGGTCCAAAGGCAGAAAGGAGAAGACTGGCACCCACGTGGTTAGGAGGGTCTCAAAGCCCACCCCACAATGACACACCTCCTTCCACAAGGCCACACCTCCTAACAGCACCACTCCCCGGGCCAAGCACTCAAACCTCCACAGGATATAAGTGCTTAGGCCGGAGAGGTAGGGATGGGTGGTTGTTGTCAGTCGTTGCTTGTTAAGTAGTCATGTGTGAAGAAGAAATGAGACGTCCTGATGAAGATCAAGCCTGTCCCAAGGGACTCGTCACCCTTAAGTGGGAGAAAGTATAGTCTAATGATAATGTTGCTCTCAGGAAGAAGGAAGTCTTGACTCCCAGCAGTCACCCTTTCCCTCTCTATCCTTTCTTCTCTCCTATCTAGTACTAGGGGGTTGAAAGGGTGGAGAAAGGTGGGACAAAACCCCCCACAAAGTAGCAAAAACAGAGCTACAGTGAAGGATTTTTACAAATCAGTAACAGCCTGTGCTAAGGTCCTGTGGCAGGAGATCTCTGTGGTACTTTTACATGGGGTCCATCTTGTTCTACCTGGAGGTTCAGAGAGGTCAAGCCACTGTGTCAGGGTCACACAGCAGAACCCATGGTGCAGAACGAGGAAGCCAGCCTCCGTCCAGGCACTAGTGCAGTGGGTTTGCTTGACGCCTGCAGTCTCAAGGACACTTGTTAATGGCCCACACTGTTCTTGTTACCATTCAGGAGACCTAGGACAGCAGGTACCCCCAAGACAGACTGAGGTAAGGGGCAAGGTTCAACAGTCTTTCAACAAACACTTGTTGATGGAAATGTTTTGTGTGCTGTGACTTGGGGGTGTCATGGTATCCCTGCATACTTGTACACAACACTGTCAGTGCACATAGCCGGGACGGGGGTTGGGGGGACAACTCTGAGTTTCAGGGGTGAAGGTGTGCTTCTGAGTGCCAATAGTGTTTGATGAAGGAGTAAGTTGTGCTAAAAGTCTGATCTAGCATTTGTATGCTGCAGCAACACCCTTTAGGACAGCACAAGCCATATACACACAAGGCTGGGCGCCTGGGAAGGGGGGTGCAGTACCAGTGAGGGCTGAACCCCGACATCTGGCAACAGAGCCAGGCCTGGTGAAAGCTCTCATCCCAGCACTCAGGACGTGGGGACAGGAGGACGCACAGATCAGGTCCATCCTCAGCTACAGAGCAAGTCTGACGCCAGCCTGGGCTTCCTAAAATCGAGATCATTAGAGCTGGGGCTGGCAGATTTGTATGAGTTTACCACAAACATCACGTTCTTTCTGCCTCTGCCTCGTGCCCAGCTCATGCTGGGAGAGGCCACAATGGGACCTGAAGGATAAAGGCAGGGCTGGGGTGGAGGTAGGGCGTCACTGACGGAAGCCTGGAAAACGGATTATCCGAAGTGGGCTTTGAGGGAGGAATAAAAGTTTCCTGGTAAGACACAGGCGCTCACACTTTTAGCCCCAACACTCAGGGGGCAGAGGCAGGAAGACCTCTCTGAGTTTCAAGAAAATTTCGCTGCGGTTGAAGGGCCGTGGGGACCAGGGGTGTGTTCAAATTCAGCGACAGTGAATGCTGGTTGGGGGAGTGGGGCGAGGAGGCCAGGAACTCACAGATCAGTGACCTTTGCTCTAGGCCCCGCCCCCCACGCCATGCGGCTGCAATGGCAGCGCCCCGATGTGATGCTCCTCCTGGCCTTGGCCGCCTTGCTGCTGCTGTTCCTGACCCGCGAGTCGCCACCTAGCTGCCCCGCCCCCGAGAGGCCCTCGGAGCCTGAGGATGACCCGGCGTGGGCTCCCGGCCCCCCGCGCGCGCACCCCGCCCCGTGCCGAGCCAATCTGTCGGTGTCTGCCCACCCCGATTTCGCGGGGTTGCCCTCACACGTGCGCGATTTCCTGCTCTACCGCCACTGCCGCGACTTCGCGGTGCTGCGGGAGCCGCGGGCGACCAAGTGCTCGCGGCCGGTGTTCCTGCTGCTCGCCATCAAGTCCTCGCCTGCGAACTACGGGCGCCGCCAGATGCTGCGCGCGACATGGGCGCGCGAGAGACGGGTGCGTGGGGCGCCGCTGCGCCGCCTCTTCCTCGTGGGCTCAGACCGCAACCCACAGCAGGCGAGCAAATTCAACCGGCTGTTGGAGCTGGAGGCGCAGACGTACGGCGACATTCTCCAGTGGGATTTCCACGACTCCTTCTTTAACTTGACGCTTAAGCAGGTGGGCGAGGCGTGGGGGAGGGCACAGGAAGTGGGATTTTGAAGTATGCGTACTAGACCCACGCAGAGAAATCGGGAGAGGGAGGATTACAACAGGGAGGACTTCTGATGCGTTACCAGCCGGCAAACCCGTTCCTGCCCCACCCATTTCACCTGTAGGTCCTTTTCCTGGAGTGGCAGCGAACTCGCTGTACCAACGCCAGCTTCGTGCTCAACGGGGACGACGACGTGTTCGCGCACACGGACAACATGGTCACCTATCTGCAGGGCTACGACCCGGACCAACACCTCTTCGTGGGGCACCTGATCCAGAACGTAGGTCCCATCCGGGTGCCCTGGAGCAAGTACTTCGTCCCCCCGCTGGTGATGGCCGAGAACAGCTACCCGCCCTACTGTGGCGGCGGCGGCTTCCTGATGTCGCGCTTTACCGTGACCGCGCTACGTCATGCCGCGCGCATCCTCCCCATCTTCCCCATCGACGACGTGTTCCTGGGCATGTGTCTGCAGCAGCAGAGGCTGACGCCAGGGGCGCACAGCGGAGTGCGCACGGCGGGGGTGCACCCCCCTAGCCCACGTGTGTCATCCTTCGACCCTTGCTTCTACCGCGACCTGCTCCTCGTGCACCGCTTCCTGCCTTTTGAGATGCTGCTGATGTGGGATGCGCTGAGCCGGCCCCAGCTTGCCTGCAGCAAGCAGGGCCGCGCCTACTGACAGGTTTGGGGGAGTTGGCACCCCTGGCTCCTGTCCTTACCCATGTGCCATGGGCTGGCTTCAAAGAGAGGTTCAAAGTGAGGAAGGAGTAGCAAGGTGGCTCTGAGAAGTTAATAGGCTGCTGGACACACTCCTAAGTATTCCTGGAAAGCCTCCTGGTGCTGCTCACAGCAGGCACTGTGAATAAAGCCACATGTGAGTGAGCTCTGAGCCCTTGCTAAGCAAGAAATGCTGTGGGCAGACCCCATGGGGGTCAAGCTCTGGCCTCAGACTGGGCCTTGGCCTCTCTCAGGACTCCGAGGAATTGGGGCAGAGGCACAAGGTAGATTTCAAACTGGGGAGCTCAGAGATCTTGATTTGACTCCCACTAGTGTCCCCCAAGAACTCGGAGATCCTCAGAGGTTGGAGAGTCCTGTGTCCCACAGATGGGGATGGCGAGGAATAAAACCCATAGAAGGCTGAAGGTGACGGTTTACTGTGTGTGTTGGGGGTGCATGATAAAACTCAGGACTCTGCCATCTTTCAATTTCATCTATTTAGGAAGGGAGCTGGGTCCTGCCTTCCTCTGTGTGGGGCCTGAGACTTGAACTCAGATCTTCAGGCTTGGCAGCAAGCGCCTCCATCCACTGAGCCCTCTTGCCAGCCCCTTTTCAGTTTTCAGCACTACTCACACCGTCTGCTCTACCCCACCTCTCTTTGACCTTCAATATTAACTCAAAAAAAATCAAACATCGTTGTAACATGTTCACATCTACAGCATGGCTGTGTGTGGCTACAGTCCCCTCTTGCTCCCTACCCCGTAGCTACTTCTTCTTCTAACATTGCAGCCTCCCTAACACCAGACAGGAGAGAAAAAAAGGATAGAGAGGAAGGAAAGCCAATCACTGAATAAAGTCTCAAGGCTTGGAAAGGGGTCCATGTTACTGTTGGACTACTTCCTGCTGATTCTTTGAGGCAAGTTTTGATCTTTGCTGTCAGAATATCTCATTTCTTCTTGTCATCGTTGCTTTGAGGATGACTACTTAATAAACCTCCACCAACAAGAACAACAGGCCCTCTGGATCATAGCACTTATGTACCCTCTAAAGAGTCCCCAGAATTCCAAACATCGCACAATTGCAGAAACTATCTGCAGCTGCAAAATCACGCCCCTGCTAGAGCATGAAGCAAATCACCGTCAGCTGCTGTGGACAGTCTGAAGCGGCCCCGTCTCCCACACCTGGAGATGAAAATACATTCCAATAATATTTCTGTTTTATAAAGAAACCCAAATTCTCAGTACACTCCCCCATTTATTTTTGAGGTTCTTTCCCAAGAGGCATGGTGGACACAGTGCAGTGGACCTAGGCAGCGATGGTGGACACACACAGTGCAGTGGACCTAGGCACATCTCTGCCCTTTCCAGCCCAGCTCTCACACCCTCATAGCTCCTGAAACCTCAGTCTGTAGAACATGGAACCTTCCAGACCAATCTGGTCTCCCCCAGCTGGCTGCCTCAACCCTGGATGACCCCAGTTCTGATCCTACACTGCCTACCACCTTGTAGTTATTTTGTTTTTTCTTTAGGCACAGGGTCTCATTTGCCCAGGCTGATATTTGATAGCCAAGGCTGACCCTTAAAGCCAAGGAGCAACTTGAACTCCTGATCCCCTTGCCTCCACCTCCCAACCTGGGATAACATTGTGCAACATACCCGGTGTGTTTGGTGCTTCAGGAGTGCCAGGTCCCAGCCCAAACTCATACTGTCTATTGTGTGCCTACTGTGTACCTCACAGTAAAGGGCTCTTGACACTCCTTTGTTTCCCCAGTGGTTCCTGGTAGTGCCTCAGGTCCGTGTGTGACCAGAGCAGAGTCACAGCCTGCTGCCCCCTCCATGTCGCTTTTCCCAGAAAAAAAAAATTGTATGAAGTTGCTTATTTATTTAGACTGTTAGGGACACAGAGAGGAGGTGGGCACAGGTAATGACAGGGCTCCTTGGGGACAGAACCTGTGGCCCTCCGTTCTGCGATCTATGAATAAACTAGGGATCCTCCAAGGCAAACCGGGGTGTTTCATGGACACGGCCGGGAGGTGGGGACCAATTGAGGACGGACTTCCTGAGTCTGTGCCCCTTCAGTGGGGACACAGACCCAACAGGTCTTGCTGGGAGCAGCCAGTGAGACAACAGCGGTGCACAGCGTTGGTGGCCTCGCTGCGGCGTTGGCGCTGAGAAGCCTGGTGGAGCTGCGGGTCTAGTGCGGAGTCCGCATCGGCCACAAGCGCGTGCAAAAGATGTCTTTGCTCCAGCCACTGCAGCAGCTCCCCTGTGGGCGAGCAGAAGTCAGCTGAAGTCCCTCCCACACACCGGCCACGAGACAACGGAGCCCAGAAACAAAGGGGCACATATAGAGCGCCTGCTGAATACTACATAACTCTTAGCTGGTGCCCACACTCACCTCCCAACTGTGTGCGCCCATATGCCTCCTGTGCACCCCAGTTTGTGGCCACGGAAGGGTGTGGTCCCGTGTAACTTCATGAAGTCCTGGGTTCACCTTGTGACTCCCTGGACGGCACCCTCTGCTTCAGGAGGGGGCCATACATTCCTACAGTCGCCACCCACTTCTGTGCACAGGGACCTCTGTCCTCTTCTGTCCCCTGGGCCTGGAGGTAGAGTCCCCGCCCAGAATCCCCAGACAGGGCCATATCCCAGTAACCCCAGAACTGCCGAGGCAGGAGGATTCCCGTGACTTTGAAATCACTTTAAGTTTCCTAGTGAGAGTCTGTCTTTAATAAACAATAAACCGAGTGGTGGCTTATGCCAGTCAGCTAAGTACTCAAGCCTAAGTAAGGCAAGCAGCTCAGTGTTATCCTTGGCTACATTGTGAGTTTGAGTCCAGCCTGGGCCACATGAGACTCGGTCCCAAAAATCGTAAAAGAGGGAAAAATTAAAATCTAAAAACCCATGAGGACTTCAGTCGTTGTTATCAGGAGGGGGCGCCACCGTGCCAGCGTCTCCCCTCTCAGTTATCCGCGCTTATCCATCCACCCCGCCTGTCCCCACTCACGGTCCCGGGGTTCCACAGGCTGCGTGGCCTCAGGCGACCAGCGCGGGCCGCCGCACACCCGCACCAGCGCACGCACCAGGTGGTGGCCGCAGAGCTTGAAGCGCGCCTCGGGAGGCTGCGGGGAGCGCAGCGCGGACCCCAGAGCCAGGAGCAGCAGTAGCAGCGGCGCGCGCATGGTGGCAGGAGGCAGCGCGCACGGATGCTCCTTATAGCCGCCTCGCGCCGCCCAAGGGCCTTGGCGGGAACACGGCGAGCAGCACCGAGAAGGTCGAGGCTCGGGTCACGGTCAGGTGTTGTGTGTCCAGCTTGGGACTCTGACGTCCTTCTCCCAGGTGCAGCACTGTGCCAGGAACTGCCCCCCAACATTTAAAACAACCCAATCGCCTCTCCCCTTTGTAAGGGTGATGCCCACATGTCTTGCTAGCACTGGAAAAGTTGAGGCAGGAGAATTGCTGTGAGTTGGAGGCACTTTGGGCTGTGAAGGAGATGGGAGGAGGTATTTATGACTTGGTTTGTCAAAGAGGGAAACTGAGGCTGGAAGACGGGAGGATACGTCTAAATGGCTCCTTTCCTGTTCCTCTACCTCCGGGCTGTTCTGGGTGACTGCAAGCACTGTCCTGGGGTGCGCAGGACTGGCTCAGCCTAGCCCCAGCCTTGGCCTCTGCCTCTTGCACCGACTCTGCCTGGAACCAGCTCCCCTGGCAAGCCAAGAACCGCAGCTGGGCAGGAGAGGAGGGGGTGTCCTTGGGGTCTGGCCAAGACCTCTGCTCTCCCAGCTGTTCCTCTCCCAGCCCCACACTTGCCCCTCCCCAGCCTATACCACACCCTGTAAGACAGCTCTCCTACACCCCCAACTCCAGTCACAACCCATCTTTTCTATTGAATTCATTTATTCATTCAACAAACACTCCCAAAACGCAATCTGTCAGGAGGCGTGCTGAGGCTTTCACAACCCGTAGAAACCCACGGACAAGGGAGCAAGGGACTGGGCACAGAGCTGGGGCCAAGAGAGGGTTTGGGGGGCTGGGTGGGTTTCTGGCCAAGTCTCGGGTGCTGTTGGGACCTGAGGTTGTGAGTTCTGCAGATGTGCCAGGAAAGCATTCCAGAGGTGAAGACGACTGCGCAGAGACTCGGTCACATATTTAATATCCCCATTCTGGGAGGAAAGAGTGATGGGAAGGGGTGGCCAGAGGGATAAGTGGGTGCTGGAGCTCAGAGAGGGACAGCTTCCTGCCTGAGGTCGCACAGCCAGATGATAAGAACCAAGCTCACGCTCGCCCCTGGCTGCTATCCAGGGCTTCCACGCCACAGCGCGTCCAGCTGTGGGCTCAGGGTGCCGAAGGCTGGCCGGTCCTGCGGGCTGGGCGCCCAGCACAGCTGCATGAGCTCCTGAACCTGATGGTGAGAAGCGAGGTGGGCGGGGCCTGAGCTCAGAGGCGTGGCTTCCACTCAGTTTAAGGGCACACATTCGAAGTCACCCCACTCTGCTCCACAGATCTCCATGGTGCCTTATGGATCTCTGAACAGAAACTAAGTTTGCCTGTGGCAAGCCTCCTGCCGTGGCCTGCCGATGGCTAGGGTGACAGACACACATCCCCCACGTCGCCGCACACCGGCTCCTCTTACTCCACCCCAGCTCACAGCCATGTTATTCCTACTGGGAATAACTTCTCCCGGCTCCTCCAATAGGCCCCATTCACGTCTGGGGGCGGCCTGCAACGCCCCCTAGAATTATCACGACATGGGGTGTGTGTCTAGCATGTGTAAGACCCTGGCTTCAATTCTCAGCACAGTTAAAAAATAAATAAGTAAATAATAAAAGAAAAATTGAAATATGGACTTGGGAGCGGTTGTGGTGGCTTCTCAGTCCAGGAGAGGCTGAGGCAGGAGGATGTTGAGTTCCAGGCCAGACGAGGCTATGTAGCAAGACCTTGCCTCAACAAACCACATTTCTGAAGCCCTTGAAGCTGAGCCTATCTCATCCTGTAAAGCGATCCCAGTCAGGACCGCTGCTGTCAATCAAGAATTGAAACTGAGAAACTTGAGTCTGCCTCCCTCACCTCAGTGGGGCAGGTGGGAGGTGGTGGCAGGCGACGGCCCTCTGCCAGCAGCTCCAGGAGGCGGCAGAGCGGGGGTCCTTCACGCTCAGGCCCCATCATGCGCAGGAACTCCTGAGGGAGAGGAGCAAGTTAGGGCAGGACTGTTAGAGTTAGGAAGGGGGCTGACGTCATGAGGAAGGGCTAAGGGGTCAGGAGGGAGGGCTGGGGTTAGGAGGGAGGGCTGGGGATAGGACAGGGGCTGGAAATCAGGAGGAAAGGGTCTGGATGTCAGGATGGGGGTCTGGAGGTCAGGATGAGGTCTGGAGGTCAGGATGGGGTCTGGAGGTCAGGAGGGAGGACTGAGGGAGGGATGAGGCAGGTGACGCACAGCGGATGGGCTGTAGCTCTTGTCGCAGTAGGTGAAGAGCTCGTACAGTACCACTCCGAAGCTCCACACGTCAGATTGGCGGGAGAAGATGTTGTCAGATAGGGACTCAGGGGCGTACCTGAGAACGGGATAAAGGCGTTGTCAGAGAACCGTGTGGCCAGTGAGGATCGAGGGCAGTGAAACAGTGGCCTGGGGAGGGCGCCGTCAATGTAAGGTGTGTTCAGGCTGGGGCTAGGAGAGGGGCGTGGTCAGGAGACTACCTAGTAGCACTGCCCACAGAAGGCGGCTCAGAGGCTGTTTGGGGACCTGTGGGCGTGGCCAGGCTGAGAGGTACTCTAAGTGGCAAGGACAGGGCTTTGAGCGTGTCAGCATTGGATGATGGGCAGCTGGGAAAGTGTCTGGGCAGATAGGTATAAGTTTCATAAGGGGAGGAGCCAGCGACGGAGAGCGGAGTAAGACCGACAGAAGTGGGTGACACTGAGAAGGGCGGAACCTATAAAGCGTGAAAGGCGGGGCCTGCGGAGAGGCGGAGCTAGAAAAGAGACCTGTGAAGGGCCTGGCTGACTGTGGTCGCCGAGGACCGAGCCAGAACAAAGAGGGGCGTGGCTAAACCCGGTGGAGCATCACTCTGTGGAGTGGGCAGGGTAGTCCTGACTACACAGTTCGGCGGGTACATCTGTAGAGTTGTGGACATGGCTTCGTGGGGCGTGGCTGCAGGGCTGAGCCTACTGTAGGCGGGGGCTAGCGAGGTGGAGCTGGATCTGGACCGGTTTGAGGCTGTAGAGTGTGGGAGTTAGGGCTCAGTGGGCGTGGCGTCTGGAGTCTTGGTCTTGTACCAAAAGATGGGGCTTTGGCCCGGCTCGCGGACCACGTAGTAGTCCTTTCCGAGCGGCAGCAGCTTAGCGAGGCCGAAGTCTGCGATCTTCACATGCGCCTCGCTCTCCACCAGGATGTTGCGCGCAGCCAGGTCACGGTGCACGCAGCGGCGCGCGCCCAGGTACTCCATGCCCTGCAGAGGGCCGTGATAGCACGTGGGCCCGGGATCCCGGACCCCAAAGTCCCCATCCCGATCTCCACGCTGCTCGCACCTTGCAGATCTGCCAGGCGAACAGCAGTAGGCGGTCGGTGTGCAGGCGCGCGCGGTGGCGCTGCAGGAAGTCCCGCAGGCAGCCGCTAGGAAGGTACTCCATCACCAGCCGCAGGCTCTGGCGACCTGCGGACAGCGACAGTAGCTCTCGAGCACCTTCTACCGGGTTCATTGAAGCCCCAGCTATGGAAGCTGAGACTCATGGAAGTTAACGACCTTGCTCAACAGGGCCCGACTAAGAAAGGGTAGAAGCGGGACTCGACCCGTTCCCGAGATGCTGCCGCCGCTCACCGGGCCCATAGCTGACTCCCCGGTACTTGACGATGAAGTCGCTGTGCAGAGCCTTGAGGATCTGAATCTCCCGCTGGAAGTCCCTCTGCTGGTCTGGCCCGCTGTGCTGTAGCTGCTTCACTGCCACCAAGGGTCCCGTATTGTCCCCCAGAGGGTCGTAGCGGCACAGCTCCACACTGCCAAAGTTGCCCTGTGGGAGGATGACAGGGCAGTGTCCGGCTCACCCAACCACGCCCCGCCTGACGGGTCAGCTAACGCCCCGCCCCACACGCCCCGCCCACTCACCTTGCCCAGCAGGGAGATGTACTTAAGGTGTCTCTCCTCGAAGACAGCGGGGTCCTGACAGGCATAGAGCTGGGCGCCACCGCACAGCTCATCTCGGGGACTCGGGCTGCCAGGTGTGGGGTCTGAGAGGAGCTCGTAATCTAGGGCAGGGGTCTCATGAGTAAGTGGGGTATCTTTCTCTGCCTCAATCCCAAACTGAATTGGTGTGTGAACTCCACCTGAACCTTGCTCTCTCTGTGTGCGTTTTGAGACGCCCACGGGTACTTCGTGGGGAGTGGGAACGATCACTGTCCGGGCAAAAGCACACTCTGTGGGACCTTAACGGCTACAGACACAAAGGGGACTCGGGAGGCAGAGCCACGCAGTGACGCCAACCTGTGACCCGGATACCCTCAGATGAAACCATCGTGCGGACAAAATTTAAGAATAACAAAATAAAACCAAATCCCAGCACCTGGGAGGGTGAGGCAGGGAGAAATCCAGTCTGAGAACCTAGCTTGGGCTACATTGTAAACCACCACCCTGGGCTACGTTGCAAAGCAAATGCAGAGTGAGTCTCAGCCACAGGTTTGTCACGGCAGCTCTTAGCTCATGCTGAGTGCTGAAACCTGCAACCTTCCTGGACCCAGCTCGGGGATCCTCTCCGCCGCCCCGCCCTCCGCACCTGATGTAATGAGGCCGTTGAGGTCTCTGAGGATAGCTCGGAAGGAAGGGCGCCGGCCAGGATCGTACGCCATGCACTGTGCGATGAGGCTCGCCATCTCTGTCCACTTGAGGGCGGGCAGCTGTCCCTGGTCCTCATAGAACTTCAGCTTCTGAGGGGCGAGGGTTCAGTTCGGTGTTGAGATGCCCATCACGTGGTTTAACCCTACCCTCACGACACCCCCTTCCCCACACCCGGCCCAGAAGGCCGAGAACACCGGCTCTGACCTTGGCTGGCTCCAGCGAGGTGATGTGCGACGGTCCCCCGCTGAACACCTCCCACGTGGTGGCGCCAAAGCCCCACTTGTCAGCCTCCAAGCCGAGGGTCTGGGCTTCCTGGAGACACTCGGGGGCCACCCAGGGTATCCTGTCGGTGAGCACTG